ATTCCTCCAAGCGGCAAATTACGATACTGTAATTTGGGTCCGAAGGTTTCGTAATCTTACAAGTCTTTACGGCCGTCGAGACCTTATCATTAAGCTCAGTCTTTTTCTCTTTCCTGTAGTTCTTTAGCCTGGTATTTTCTGGCACCAAGTAAGTGGAACCAGTCACTCTCGCTTTGCTATCGTCGAAGATGGAAGTCATGCAGTAACCAGACACGCAACAATTCGTTGTGGTAGTATCACCCGGTGGTCTTACAGTGTCGGCACGGATTGCCTTCTTCGATTTTCGGGAACTTTAGCGTGTTGTTGCAGACTTTCGGGAGCACTTTGCTCCTTTAGTGTCTTTCGCTTCGGGGTGTGATTCGGTCTCAATCTTATGACTCAGTCTGGAATCATCATTCACAGCATCGGTTCCAGATGATGTCTATTTCCCCTCATCTGGGGATTTTGTCAATTTTTGGGACATAAGAAGTCCTGCAGTCTCTTGGATGAGGACATCATGTGGTTTGCTACAAAATCTGCACACCCACGGAGGTAATGTCCTGCTGCATCTCTTATAGGCTGATGGTGATAAGCCGGTGCAAAGTTTATGAAGCCAAAGGTCGCAGCTGTCATAGTGCATCCAATCATCCGCCAGAAAGTGGCAATCCAGTCGTCCACAGCTATTAGTGAGACTCATCTTGGTATAAGTTGTTTAAATTACACAGAAAAATATGAGTTTATATGTACTTAAGAACAGAGATAAAAAACACAAAGGTCACACATGTGCACAAAATCAATACTTTAACTAATTAAACAAGTGAAAGTAAACCTAAAATCTTCAGACGCCAAGCCAATTTCTACGTTCTACCCCCTTATGACGAGGTAGTGGCTGCTGTATTTAAATATGTCTGATGCTCCCCATCTGGCTACTCATCTGTCTATACCTAGACAGTGGAAGAAAGAATCTAGAAGTTGATCGGATGTCGAGGATGCTTTTCAGTCTTTTTAATAATTTATCAGACAAAAATCTTTATTCTCACCAGCCATTCATTCAGTGTGACCCAGAGGAATTATGCAATAACGGTGGTAATAATGCTGGCTAAAAAACTAATTTTCAAATGAAAAATCAGCTTTTGGATTCAGCTACTTGACAGTTTCACAGTGGAAATTCGTCTTCACCAATAAACCTAGTACGAAATCTGCCTTTGGTTACTTTCGATGGTAACCTTTGTTAGTCTTGTTTCGACTAAAATCGATAGATGTAGAAAAGTGGACAGACATGACGAATAGAAATGTGAGACGGGGAAAACTGTATATGAATTTACTGAAGTTAGTGTTGGGCGTGAAAGGTATACGTTAGTTGAAATCCATCACAATACTAAGACATGCGTCGATTAAACTTATGTTTGATAGGGATTGACCCGCTAGACACATCTCATTATTTACTGCACCACTGCCCAGCCTGCCGATAGGGCATAAAACAGGTGTCAATGTAGTTGAAGATTGAACGATAAATTCATGGTTGTTTGCTCAAACCCAATTCTATATTTTTCGCGGGAGTCATCAATCCGCCAGTTATCATCTCATCGTTCGCTGTTCGGTGGAAGACAGAAAATTATCAGAGGTATTATCGTGATTTATCGTTATAACATTTGTTGTTAGACCTTCTTTCTGTAATAACATTATTGTCGGTGGCACAGTGATTAGGACTTTCGCCGACCAAGCACACGGTTCGAGGTTCGATCCCCTGCCGACGCACACCTGATATCTATGGCCGGCCTGCAAAATTTGGGCTACCAATATCCATGCTGAAAATTCCATACTTGTACCAAAAGTACAGTGTGGCATCAAGCTGTAATCAAAAATTAAAAAAATTAAATTATATGTTGGCGTAAGAATAAAGGATTCTTGAGTCGCCAATCAGTGTTTTGGTTTTCGCGTTGTTTAATGCAAAGCGTTTCTGAAAGTCTTCGAGGGACAGCATGAGGTCCAGCGTAGTAAGAGCTGGACATTGACAGTTTATGAGACTTGACTGACAAGCATCAACGCCACATTTTATCCAACCTACCTTAGTTCTGACACTTATTAACATTGATCCTAATCGTTTGTTATGAAAGCATTGATGAAATCACGTAGTCATGTAATTAAACACCTCCTACTGAACATGGATTTCCCTGTTCTTCATTATCAGGTGAAAGAAACCAACACAGCGGAGACTAAATTAGCCTTGTGCTATTCAAAATTTCGTTTCGTTAACAACACATCTTTTTATGCATTCCTCTGAGCCTTCTGATATCATCTTGTTTGAAACTGAGTCGCACACATAACGAGACAGAAAAGTATGCCATCTATTCCTCGTCTAGTAGTGGTCAGAACCGCATATATGTGCTGCATCTACAGAACATCGTCTGTGAAGGTGTTTGACTGACGGTGCAAGAACGGTTGACGAATGATTCATCAAGAGTTTTGAAGCTTACCAAGTTTTCAGCCGTATTTATTTGAGAATGTTATGAGCACTAGTTTACAGTTTTGGAGATGTCCCTTTTTTAAAATAGGTTTTCCACCCGTATGAAAAATTGTGTTCTACAGAATTGAGTCTGTGCAATAAGCGCAAATCACAAGAGGTTTATCAATTATTCTATGAAAAAAGTGTCTGATGGTTGATGATCCCAAAGACTTGGTGGGCATGTAAGCTACCACAGACCGTCTCGAAGAATCTGCTGACCCCGCTTAGAGACTTCACAAGGCAAAGTTTGACTGTTCATACAGTCAATTACCGCTTATCTTACCATTGCGGTTGATCAGACACATGTCAGTGTTCGTATACGTCATCTTATTTGCCACATTTTTCCGTTGCAGTAACTTTGGAGATTTGTAAAAAATTATATTTGTATAATCTCAGCGATATTGAAATGAGTAATTCCAACGTTTCGTTCGGCAATCTGGTCCGAACGAAACGTTGGAATTACTCATTTCAATATCGCTGAGATTATACAAATATAATTTTTTACAAATGTCTACTTCTCACTCGGCGCCCAAATTTTCTAGAACTATTCTGTCAAATCTTGACTACAGTTCATTTGATTGAACTTTGGAGATGTTTCAAGATTGGCAACAGTCTTCGAACTTAAACTGTAGTTTGTGGGAGCCACGACACTTCACGAGAACCAGATCAGACAGTGGTAGAGAAAATTGCGGTCATAAAAATAAACCGATTAGTGAAGCACAAATAATTCATTTATTCATTCATGCATTAAAGTAAATGACCACAGTCCCGACTAGTTTGATCATAAGGATTTTGAGCGATAACAATATCACGTGACGGTTCTAAATAACAACAACTTCACGAAGATTAGTCTGTGTATAGCTCGAACAGGCAGACCGGAAGTATAGCAGTTAAACTACACTATGTGCTAATTACGATTTACAGGACACTAAAAAAATTTTCCCTTGACACAGACTTATATTAAAGGTTCGATATCTTGTTTAGGATTTGTATTTGCGTATACGTTTCTTCTCGCGTTCATACGGCTTCTTGGTTAACTGTCACGGTTAGAATATGAAATAGGAGCTTGTGGGAATCTTGCTGACTGACATGCAATATTCACTCCGCAGTTAACAACAATGACTCAACATCCATGATACTAACATGTAATACAAAAGAGGTATGCATAACAGAATTGTAAACTACTTAGGAATTACTCCAACTGGGCCGTCCCCAAATACGACCTGCTGCAACTGACGGTAGGTAGACTTCAGTCTTACTGTTGAAACGCCTTCATTTCGCCACGATTTGAAGGCCACTGCAGTGGGTGGATATTCGTCACAAAAGTAAAAGACGAATTCGAAAATCTCACGTTTAAGATAAGACTGGCGGACATACTGGTTTACCTTAATTCCAAATCTATATCGCACATTAGCACCACAATCCGAAAGAAATGAACTATTTTCCGACCACGAAGATCATGCGGACGCAACTACTGATGCTGCTCCACCGTCTTGTGGGTCAGATCTCAGGTCAAAGGCTCGAAGAACAGTCCTTAAGAGCACAACGATCTGGGCTCCTAGACAATAGCCCAACTCTAGCACAAACTATGATATTTTGCATGGTGAACACCTTGGTGCCCACAATATACCAAGTGCGCATTCTAATAATAATAATAATAATAATAATATACTGAGCTAACATCATATCCTGTTCCTTCCAGAGTTGAATACAAATAGGGCCTTGTGTTTGTTAGCCTATTGTCTCCGCAGACCTGGGGAAACCACAATATACAACGCAGTGTAAATGATGCTGAGACAAATGCATTAGAACAACTTTGTCTGCTTCCATTGGCTACTTCACTTACGAACTACATTGGATGTATCATAAATCAATACTAATTCAAAAGAAATGTTTAAACACAATTAAATCATAACACATAAATGTATACTTCCCTAGTCCCATGTTCAAAAGATAGAAATAAAACAGCCCAGAAAATGGAAGTATACAGCATATATTTCACAAAATTTTATCTCAAAAAGCCAACACATCTTGAGAAGAATGATTATACAAAGTACAAAGTAGTGGAGAACAAGTCAAATGGATTTTAAGACGAAAAAACAAAAACAAAACAATGTTCAACGGAAGACATCTTTCCCGCGAAAATTAAAATAATTAATTATCCCTACCATAAGATTATGGCGAAATGTACAAACAGCCGAAAAAGATGGGATAATTATATGTGTTAGCAAATATACACATGCAATCCACACATTTTAAAGGACAAAATGATGACAGAATTTTTTGAGGTATGTCAAGTGAAAGACGAAAAAAAAGAGAAACAGAAAGTTACCTATGAATTTCTCTCTACAATAAAGGAAGTTATTACACGAAGGAAACCAGTAAGTAGTTAAGGCGCATGCCATAACAACGAAATGAGAAATAATAATATACAAAGATATTCTGGAATGACAGTACTAGGTCTTCTTTGATGGAAGTGATAAAAAGCTGAATTCATAGACAGTCTGGGAAAACTTCAACAGCTGGCGAGAACACTTTCACAGTTGAAGTCAGGAAAGAAAAATTTGATCTCTTTCAGTGCATTTTCTTGTGAATCTATCAAGTAAAATTAAAATAAAGTAATGAGTTATATTCAGCTAATATTTCAAGCAAACAGAGGACAATAAAACAAACATTAGTGTAGCGCAACTGCCAATTAAAACGGCATAGTCACTAAAAACCATTATAGGCATTTAAGATACTTTCAAGTATTGGTTTTGTAGGGATTTTGTTTGATTGCATGGAGGATTTAATCATGAGCTGACATCAGTTAGACAACCACTGGAAAACCTGGGAGTACTGGACAGCTGTTTCGTCCTAGTTTGGGACTCTTCCAGTGGTTGTCTAACTGATGTCAGCTCATGATTAAATCCTCCATGCAATCAAACAAAATCCCTACAAAACCAATACTTGAAAATTAATCTGTGCTCACTAGTGACTGGCCCTATTCAGGCAGTTAACCTGGGGTTCTAGTGGGAAGCCATAACCAGTAGGGTACAGCAGGTTGAAGATGAGGCAGTAACTCACTCATCGAAGAAGACATTGCGAAGTGGTCGCGCTATGCCGTGAATTGGCAGAAGTTAGAATTCAAGGACCATTGGATCGGGTCCCAGTGGCTCAATGGTCTACGAGCTAGCTCGCCTTTTAACCAGTAGGTCCTGGGTTCAAATCCCGGTGGGTGCGTACTGCTGAAGAGTCCCAAACTAGGACGAAACAGCTGTCCAGTACTCCCTGCAGGTTTTCCAGTGGTTGTCTAACTGATGTCAGCTCATGATTAAATTCTCCATGCAATTTAAGATATTTCCTCATATGACAACAACGAGTCAAACGTGTCAAGTGAAGCGATAGATGCAAATTAGACACAAGACTAATTTTAACCGAACAGTAGTCAGTAACTAGTATAATGTGTCTAGTGTTTTGCTTGGTGCAGAGTGAATTCTATTGGTCAAGTTTGTAATGTGGCCACTGTGCCACTAGGTGGCTCGCCATCACGGTGCACTCTGAATTATTGGTATTACGTAGCACTAGACACATAACACTATTTAATGACTAGTGTCCAATCAAAAATATCCAGTACAGTCCTACAGGAGGTCAATCGCTTGCGCGAATAGCTGTCTCAGTGGTAAGGTCAGCACCGGATGAAACGGGTTCGAATCTCCGGTTGCAGATACGCCTTGCTGACTGTTAGTGAGTTGCAACAACCACGAAACCAAGGTCAGATAGGGCTTCCTACCGATTGTCTTCAACCATCTAATACCAACAAAGCTATTTTTCGAAAATTATGAATTTTCAAATGTGATTGTAAGTCGAGTGTTTATTGATTTCAAATTAGATTCCAATGTGACATGAGCTGGAGAATCACTAAAATCCAGGGAGTACTGAAAATCTGCGTAAAATCTTTGGAGCGCTCATCAGCGATAAAAACTAAATGATGAATTCAAGACCTTCAGAATACAAAAGGCGAATCGTTGACCATCCATTCAACAAATGTGATGGAATCCAAACCACCCCGGAAATAGAAAATTTTGCTAATTCCTGAAGTTTTGCGCAACCAAAATTCCACGTCACAGGCAAGTATTACTTCTTACATTTGACCTAGTTGCCCTCAAATACCTCAATTTTTTAAAGCTTATTACAGGAACTTCAACCCATTACAGCTAGATTTCATTTCGCGAACTAAATTAAAATTAGCCTTAGTAACACGAGGTTATCAAGACGTTGTTCCGATCCGTTAGTTAGTCACGTGATAGCAAGTAAGAAATTCAGATACTACTGGTTAAAATAAGCAGTTAGGAGTAACATAAGTGAAAAAGTAGTCCGACGACTGGGCAGTGTTTTCGTCTGTTTACGCTTGTGCTCATCAGCGGTGTATCCAGTTAGACTCATTCTATGCAGTTGAATCAGCTGGAACCATAGACTTTCAAGGATAGATACTCTGAACAACTGGTGTATAACATACGACTAAATCTGTCATTTGGAAAATACACAGTTTCGGGTGAAGATTTAACAAAGTTTCCCATCGGAAATCTGAAATACTCCGATCACAATGTATGAACTGCTTGGTACCATAGACAGAGATCACGCGAAAGAGAGGAGGGTGGTGATTTCACTGTGAAAACCACATAAGTAAGAATTCAATTCTAACAAACATAAAGTCATGCATTAGTTAACCTGTGTACCAAACTTTGATTAATAACTAAGCGCTAAAATCCTTACACAGTAGTCAGCAAGCAACGGATTCGTGGGCATAAAACAGTTCTCTAAGGATATAAGTATGTAACTTGGGCACTGAGTGGTAGAGTATGAATCCATTATAGATAAGATTTAGTTTTGATAAATCACAGTGTTTGTTATACAGTACTAATAACTGATGACCACGTTTCGAGCACAAACTATTGCCACTCATAATCATATCAAGTTACTCGCACAACTCTGCTTCATTTATATACATTAGTAAAATTGATTAGACATTTGAATAAAACCTCTAAGGATCACCAATGACTCGAATAGATCAATTTAGCTGACTTCAGTAAAAGGCAACACGAATTCGAATATTATACAGGAAAATGAGTTTACTCAAATGTTGATGAAATGTCTTGATGGCAGACGATTCATCATTGGTCGAACCATCTGATCTAACTATTTAGACAGAAAAATGTTTTCATGGTGGTGTGATGACAGACTCTGTTAGAGATCAATTCTGAACAGACAAGGTGGCAAGACTTACAAGTGTTGATGGTTATGAAGAATCCTTATTTAGTGGAATAAAACTACAGCTCAGGAGATGACCCTTTAGGACAACTACCTGCTTCGATTCGGTCATCCAGATAGTATGGCTAGTAGCTGGCTATACGACGAAGTTGCCTGGAGTTCTAGTGAAAAGTCATGACCAATACAGCTCACCAAGTCGGGTGTGAGGAAAAATACCCTCCGACAGCAATGGCTGGCGGTGGCGTTAAAATCGCTAATTGGAAGAAGTTATAATTAAGTGGCCATTGAATTCCAAACAAAAGAGGCTGACTGTTCAACAAGTTTGGTTCGGTAACCACGATGTAGTCGTGCGTGCACGCTCTCGAACACTCCCAAACCAGGGTGAAACAGCTGTTCAATATTAAATCCTGGTGGTATTCAATGGTTGCCTAACTGATATTAATCCATGATCAAACTTGAAACCAATCGAATGCTCTTGATATTAAAACATCAGAAACAGCAGAGTTTATAGGAGCTCAGTAATTCAGGTATATGGGTTGGTGGCAAGTCAAGGGCAAATGATACTCTAGTTTTTTACGAGTTCAAGGTTTTCTTATCAACCTTCAATGAGTCATCACCTATTTATTTATATGCACAGACTAACCAATAATCACTCTGTAAGAACTGACGAGGAATCATGCTCTTGTTGACGCCAAGTAAAATCATGAACCGCATCATCCTGGGGAAGATAAAGGACACACTGAATACAGAACATTGCCCAGCCAAGAACAAGCTGGCTGGATTCAGGAAAGCCTAACCATGTTCTCACCAAATTGCAACTGTATGCATCATCAACGAACAAAGCATGGAATAGCAATCAAACCTATATTATTATTATTATTATAATTATTATTATTAGTGTTCCCTTGGGTTCCTAATGGAATATAGGACTTCAACTGCACGTCTCCACCTGCCACTTCTGTCTTCCTTCTGCTGTACTTTTCACCTGCATCCAGTCATGTTAGTTAGTCCATACTCTTTTAACTCCTCTTCACACGATATTCTCCATGTCACCTTTACACTGACGTCCCACTCGCCGCCTCCCTTTCGGATTCCACTCGAGCAATGGCCTGACGCGCGCGCGATGCCACCCAGCGGCCTCCTCAGCGAGTGAGTGTCCAATCCATCTCCACTTTCTCCTGCATATTTGTTGGTTGGCGATTGGTTCTTGTTTTGTTTGTTTATTCCCATAGTTTCTTGTTGGTGGTGATTCTTTCCGGCCCAGCCATCTGATCTTCACTATAGATCCAGCGAAGACAGTTGTTGGTTGATAAAGGTCTTCAACAGGCTGTTGGTGGAAATACTCTTTGTGACCCGCCCGCCCACCAAGTTTCTGATCCGTATAGAAGAAGTGACTGACTTGACGTTTGTATTGAAAATCCGACCGAATTTTGTTGTTGATGCTGACTGAGTGACGAAGATTTCCAGATTGGTTTCAGGTTGATGATGAATGTGTTTCTCGACTTCCCAATTCTCTTGGGCTGGCCATAGGATCGGGTCCTAGTGGCTTAATGGTCTACGAGCTCGCCAGTCTTGTAACCAAAAGGTGGTCCTGGGTTCGAACCCCAGTGCAGTGGGTGCGTACTGTCGAAGAATCCCGAGCACTGGGACGAAACAACTGACTGTTCAGTACTCCCCGGTGGGTGGTTTTCCAATGATTCTCTAACCGATGTCAGCGCATGAGGAAATCCGCCAACGCATGAAACTTTTAATCATTATCTCATAATCGTTTCTGGAGATAAAAGAATGTTTCTCTTACCTGACCCATGGAAACCATTTCTAGTATCGGTTAAACCAAAACGACCACGTAAACTGTTCGACTCAAACACAACAGCTCTAGATGAATTTTAAACAAAGAATAACAATATTTGAGTATAGCAGTTTTATACACACTGACAAGTGATATATATATATATATGTATTGAAACAATTAGTTCCTTTGATAAATTTTACTGATGCATGGTTTTATAAATGAAAAACTTTATAAACAACTTAAACCTATTGGGTCACATACTCCTCAGCTTTATGGCCTTCCAAAGATCCGCAAAACTGGGAACCCACTGAGACCCATCTTAGACATGTCAAATTCTTTTTACCATAAAATCGCCAAATGGATTACAGAGGTCCTTACGCCTGTAAGAGACTCATTATCAAATCATTCTGTAAAAAGTTCATTTGATCTTACAGAAATGCTAGACACCTTGAACATTAAGGAAAAGGTTATGTGTTCAGTCGAAATAGAATCTTTATTCACCACCAATGTTCCTCTTCATGAAACTGTTGATTTCACATTTGGGATTACATCACGAGCAATGAGATAAACTTACCTATTCCTGTAACTTATATCAAAGATATCATCTTAATATGTACACAAAATATTAGATTCACATTCCAAGAAAAGGCATACAAACAAATCGATGGTGTCGAAATGGGGAGCCCTCTGGGACCCCTGTTAGCAGATATATTTATGTCGAAATTAGAGAAACAAATGCAAGGTATGCTTGGAAAATTTATGCTGTATAAACGTTATGTAGATGATACTCTCATTATTGGTAATAACAGTAAATTTATTGAAAACTTTATTACCCTATTTAACCATATTCATCCAAATATTCGAGTGACTTCCGAACTAGAATCGAATAACAAACTCGGTTTCCTGGATACTACTATGATTGGGAGAGATGATGGAAAGATTTAGCGCTCTATTTTTCGTAAACAGACATCGAGTGGACAATATCTTCATTTTACCAGTTTTGTTCCTATCCAGTATAAACATTCCCTACTGAGTGAAATGTTTGTTTTCTATACTTTGGTTTGTAAGGATTTGTTCTGTTTTTACGGGTTGATCACGGATTGATATCAGTTAGAGAACCATTGAAAACCAGGGAGTACTGGGCAGCTGCTGTTTCATCCTAGTTTGGGAATCATCAGCAGTACGCACCCACTGGGATTCGAACCCAGGACCTTCCGGTTACAAGGCAAGCTCGTATACCTGGTCGTGGGTTCGAATCCCAGTGGGTGCGTACTGCCGATGATTTCCAAACTAGGATGAAACAGCAGCTGCCCAGTACTCCCTGGTTTTCAATGGTTCTCTAACTGATATCAATCCGCGATCAACTCGTGAAATGTTTGTTCTCAAGGGCCCGAAAAATATGCACGAGTGACACATTGATGGATGAGCTCCGACATAAACATTCAGTTTTACTAGCCAATGGTTATCCAGAAAACTTCATCAATTGTCACGGTAAGGATAGACCACATCTTGAAAAGACAGTTTCTGTACCAAAGAAAGCTATCTTTATCAACCTACCATTCAAGGGCAACCAGATTATGCAGTTGACTGCTCAAAGACTTCGGTCAGCCATCAAACGCACATTCTACGCCGAATCTCTTTTTCTCACTTGCCAAACATTTTCGATCCCTGTTCCTACGATTAAAGGACGAAATTCTACGGACTCTACTTCATCAAACTGTATCTACAAGTTCACCTGCAGTTGTTGCGGTGACACTTACATAGGTAGAAACAACAGAATGTTCCAAAGTGTTCGTCGAAAAGAACATGTTTCCAAAATGGCTACTAAATCATATCGAAAGTCCTAACGTGATTAATCTGAATAGAAATCCATCAGAATCATCCATTGCAAAACACTTATTAATGTTTCAGGTCACAAAATCAATATCAATTAATGACTATTTCACAATTATTTCACATAACTCTAATTCAAGGTTATTGAAGGTGATGGAAGCGCTTTGGCGGATTAATCACATACAGCCTAAACTGTGTGTACAAAAATCAATAGACTTCAATCTTCGCCTACCATGGACTGACTACTTGACCTATCTAAACATGATTGGTCATTAGTATGTACTTTTGTTTTTTTATTTAACTTTATTTTATTATTGTTAACCATGTTGCTAGTTGTAAAGCAGTTGTAAAGAAACTACGAAATGACGATATCATCTCGCGGCGAAATTTGTCTTCTTAATGCCTTACTCAAATATAGTGACAGACGTTAATAAGTAGAAACAATTACAATTCGATTTATACGTAATACTATTTTCTTAAATACCATTCTCAAGCTGTACAATAGCATAATACATTATCATAGCAACGAAGAAAATATTTTCAAAGATATGGTCATTGAAAATTTAAGGTTTAGATAACAACTACATAATACGAAAGAGACATTAATCGTGTTGAGACTAAAATGAAATAAGTATGCTGAGTGATGAGACGACGTGATTGGCAGGATTGCGTAGAGCTCAACCAATGCTGAACGTGTGAATATATGCGTAAAACTTGAGGACACTGTTGAAGTGTATATAATTCCATATTAATTTGTTTACTGAACGTGCCGAATATACAGTGAGACAGTATTATTATTTATTTATTTAAACGCATAAAAAACTTGGTACAATATGGCACCAAGAAGAATGCGTCACACAATAACAATAAAACAACATAGATCAAAAGAAAAAAAAGAAAGAAGAGAAAAAATATATAAGTAGAGAACGGATAAACAACTTCATCTGGAAGGAAAACAGCCACACTTAACAAGTTCAAACAGTATTCGTTAACTATCATCAGGAAGGGAAGAAAGAAGGAGACTGCAACACGTGTAATAGCACGCTATAAGTTTCATTGATTGTTTGTTGCTTTATTCAATTCATTGTGTGTGAGGGCTGAGATACTTCCCGGGCGCCCAGACCGAAGCAGGTGGTTTTACTAAGGGCCCCCCCCCCGAGCCTTTGACTTGGAGTCTAATCCGCAAGGCAGCGAAGCCGAGTCAGGAGCTGCATTCCCATGGTTTCCTGTGACCCATATGGGTTCATACACCATTTGATCCGATTGGATACTGGAGCCCATGTACCCCATGGTAACTGATTTTAGTTTAACCGCTATCCAAACAACCTTCCTTACATGGTAGGACCTGCAGACACACAGAGTCCCAGTTAGTTTAGCTTGTTGGGTCAATACGGTATTCAAGCCCGATTACCACGACAAGGTAGCAGTTATTGGCCGCAGTATTATTATTTACTGGATGACAACATTTCCAACACAATTCACTGTGCTCGTATTCCCATCGTCAATTATATAACCACACGACTTGGAAACGTGAGTTTTATAATTTTCTTTCTTGCTTCCTATTTGTCTTCGTATAGGCGTAGTAGAACTACTACTTTCTAAATGTCCAGGTGTTGAATCACTCCTAATACGTGTGTTCTCCTTAGTTGATTCGATAAATAAAGCCTCAGCCAGTCAGTTATCAATCTCTCGTTCTCCACCCTGTGACATTAGATTTTGAGTCTCTCATCTTATCCCATCCATCCCATCCTATTGTATGGTTGTGTTGTGTGTAACTGCATGTAGTGTAGTGTAGTACTATAGCTGAACTACATATTCTCCAGATTTATTATCTTATTAGGGTCAATTTAATCAAGATTTTATTAGGATTTTGTCCTGAGCTAGTTAGTCTAAATGAACCCGTTCTACTACTTTGATCTGTGTATTTAACCTGACAATTGGTGCATAAGGGTATAAGATGAATAAAATGGTTTTGTTTTAATGGACTGCTCCACAGGATCCTTTTGTGAGTTTGAAAGCCACTTTTGATTCCTGCATTGTTATGAATTCCACTGACATGTCACCTTCAATTATTATTATTATTTTTTTGATTACAGCTTGATTCCACACCGTATTTTTGGTACAAGTATGGAATTTTCAGCATGTGATATCGGTAGCCCGAAATTCGCAGGCCAACCATAGATATCAGGTGTGCGTCGGCGTGGGCTCGAACCTCGGACCATGTGGATGGTCGGCGAGAGTCCTAACCACTGTGCCACCGACGCTTTAATTCCTAGAGGAACCTAGGGCTTCAGCCAACGTTCTCATCACCTGGCTCCACGTCTCCCCTCTGCATCACCTCTTCCTCCATGTCACCTTCGCACTGACGATCAACTCGCCGATTCCCATTCGGCCGGGTTCCACTCGAGCAATGGTGTGGCGTGTGATGTCACTCACTTGATGGTTTATTTTTTCAGAGTATGGCCAATCCACCTCCATTTCTTCCTGATCAGTTGTTGCACATTTGATTCCTGCTAGGTTGGTTCGTTCGTTGCCAGAGATCCATGTTACTGTTTTCTGGCCTGCCATTTGATCTTCGGTAGTACTGAGCGAAGACAGCTGTTGAGGAAAGTCTCTAGTTTGTTCGAAATGGCCTTCGTGACACGGTGCCAAGTCTCTGGCACCGAAATTTAGTCATCCAGTAAATAATACTGTTTCACTCTGTCTGTGTGATATTTCTCATAAACAAATTAATAGAGAAAGCTGAGGTATTAAATTGGTGGATGGTGATTAGCAGTGGAATCCAGGATAACGCGCATTTCGTCCTATTTGGGACTCGTCTCCCAGCTGGATGTACCTGCATTTCTCAGTGAGTCAGTGATGATGTTCCCAAAACCAAGGCTCGAACCCAGTGGCCATAGTTTCAAACGCCAAAGCGTTATCCACTAGATCACTTGGGCCACGAGAGCCACTAGCTCTTGTGCAACGGGTCATATTAATTATTTAATTGAATTTTAGATTTTTCCGTCGATTGATTGCTAGTCACCATCGACCAATTAAATGTCCAGGCATCATCGAAGCATCTGCACAAGAAGCCAACAGACTGTCAACCTGAGACCAAGCACTTCGGTCTAATCAATTGACTGGAAAATTTAAAATTCAATTAAAGCTGAAAGATGTCTTAAGTTTAGGTTAGTGTCATAATCAGGGGGAAAAGAAGTTGTATAGTTCAGATATCAAACACAAACTTCTTCACTATTCAGAGTTCAAA